CCTTGGGCAAAGCATGGGTCCTGCACAAAATCAAGCACCTGAAGTGTCAGCTGATGCCACAACCTACAAAACAAAAGGCCCTTCAGTCCCATACACTAATGTGAAATAACAGATGCCTTTGGCTTTGGTGGTCCCATCAAACACCAAGCACTACCCTGCTTCCACTGCACAGCACAGTAGCTGAAGCAAGTACCAGCTAATTCAAGCTTATCTCTCGACCGGTTCTGCTACCACTTAGTCACTTATCCTTTCCAAGACTCAGTTTTCTTGGGTAACAATGGAGAACACTTTTTGAGACAGCTTCAACACCCACTCTGAGTGTCACCTGGAAGAACTTTGGAATTCTATAGCTATATTTTGAACTCCATGCTCTCTTACTCATTAGCTGAATACCTCACAGAAGAATAGAAAACTGATATTCAATTTGTACATGGGAAGGATGAAATAAGCCAATACTTTTAAAAAGCCAATATATGAACCTTTAGGACACTGAAATAGCACATTTCCCACCACGGCTAAAGGATATTTAATAATAGAGATAAAGTGTTTTGAAAAACACAGAATGTTACAACATATCTAGGCAGTTACATACTAAACACTGAAAAATTTCTCTTTAAGTCATTAAGAGTTTTAACTGCTGAATACTATCATGTGTAAAGGTTCTGAAGAGGTGTTTCTTCATAGGAAAGCTCTTATATCAATGTTAGCAATTTGTAATTGTTCTGGAGTTCATCCTGTTTCCAAACAAACTCAAACACTAAGATCTCTTTAGTGGCAAAAAGGCCAATGTGAGACATATCAAAAAATAGGGGCAGTGGGCGATCAATCATTCAATGGTTGTAGAATCAAGAAGAAATTAGAGGCTGTAGACAATCACACCACGGCTCAGTGCAGGCTACTAGGGCTGTGTCTCAGACGGGGTGACACCCTAGCTTCTGAACTATTTGCTTGTTTGAATTAAGACCTAGCATCACAGGCCAACCCGGGCCTCCTTCGGTTAATTAAGAACATACAGAAGACAAAGCTTAGCAGCTTATCATAGCCGGTAAAGCTGGAACGCAGGGAGTCTAGAGTCAGAACCTGGCAACAGCTCTGCCCCTTAGGCTGTCGACCCTTTTCCCATATCCCTGACCCTCCGGACTGATTGGAGCCTCTGGCCCTCCCAGAGCTCTCTCCCTCCCGCCCCAGCCTCGGAGCTCACTTCTTCGTGTACAGCTCTTCCAAACGGTGCCAAACGGCGGCCTGGCCCGGCCCGGAGCTCTGACTCTGCTGTAAGAAGGCCGGCACATCCTTCATGATTGCAGAGAGCTGGGAACACAAACACCAAGCAGTCGGAACCGGCAGGGATGGCGGACGGAAGTGCTCGCTCACTTCCGGCACCGCGCCGCGTGGGGCATGCTGGGAGCGTCCCACTAGCCTCACGGGTTGTGGTCGTCAAGGTAACCGCGTTCTTGGCTGCCGCCAAACTTCTCCCGGGTTTCTAGCCCTGCCCTTGAGGCGTTAAAGAGTAGAGGTGCCTGGGGACAGCTGGCCACCGACTGGTCACGTAGCCTCAAGCCTTTAGATGTGGGTCCTCTGAAACCGGATGGTGTCTGGCGAGGACTAGGTGTGATGCAATTCCTGACGACAGTAAGCGCTTAGAGAGCATTAGTTATCACCCGCCTGCTCAAGGAGGTCGAGAGCGGGGTAAAATGATGAAATCTCCCGATTTGGCTTCCCAACCAATAAGTCAGAGTCCCACAGAGGGGGAAGCTGCCAGTACCAGGCATAAACACACCCTTCGACACATCGGGAGTTGGGCAGGGTACGGTGTGAGAGGTGGAGGAAAGGCGCGGGAGGGCGGGACTTGGCCAGAAGGGGGCGGGAGTAAAAGTGCCGAGAGGGCGGGGCTAGGCGCACGAGGGCGGGGATTCGGATGGCACTTGACCCTCTAGGCGCCGTCGTCCTGCAGAGCATCATGGCGCTGAGCGGTCGACTGGCATTGGCCGCACTCAGACTGTGGGGTCCGGGAGGTGAGCCACATCAGGGGAGACACGGGGTCCTGCAGATAGGCTGTCAGCGGTGTTTTAGGAGCGGGTAGTTGGAAGCAATTGCGGGGGTAAGGAGTTGGCAGGTGCGCCCTTCCACAAGGTTCTGCTGACCGGCCATCTGTACCTCATCTCCTTATAGATGTTTTTCTATGTAGCTATTGCAGCACAGTCTTTGAACTATTTTACAGAAGTTCGTTGTATGGACATCTTATAATTTATATAACCATTTCCTTATTGAATACTTTCTAATCTTGAGTTATTACAAGTAACATGATGAATAACCTTATTTGCACCCCATTTTGAGCATAAATTCCCAGTAGACTGCCTTGTGTAAAGTTATGCGGTTTGTATTGTTTTGAGACTGGGTCTCTTGTTCAAACTGGCCTTCAGCCGGCTGTGTGAAGGATGACCTTGAACTCCTGATCCTCCTTCCACCTCCTAGCTACTGAGATTGCAGTCACGTGCCACCACATCCAGCTGCTACTTATGTTTTTAATTTTCCCCTATAAAGGTTGTGAAAATAAAAGTTTCATTAATAGTCATACTGTCTGCAAATTAGTAATGTACTTCGTATAGTCCGGAGAGTGATCAATAATAGAGATATTTTCAGTTTGAAATGAGTGAGTTTATTAAGTTAGAGAGAAGTTATCACGTTGCATATTTAAAAAAAAAAAAAAACAGCAGAAAGCTACTGAGGAAGCTCCTTTAAGGTAGCCAGGTGGAACTCCCAGTAAAGAGTCCCTGGCAGAATAGAGTGACTCCTTCAGTGAGAGGACACTAGTAAAGCAACAGATAGAGGTAATATCAAATTGGACACTTGTTACAGCCAACAGAAACTGACAGAGAAGTTGAGATAGTCAGTTGGAGTTCCCAGATGAGCTTTTTCTCTGTGTCTGAGCTTCGGGTTTTCCTTTCGACTGTAGGCACTTTCTTTTCCCTGCAGGCACTTTCCTATACTGGGATAAACAATAGTAGCCTCTTCTGGAACCCGCTCACCTAGCTGTTCTCAAGGACACAAGTGTTTTCACTCTGTTTTTCTGTTCTCTCTCTGTCCTATCACACAGTTAGGGGAGCCAGCCCTCCAGACTTTGGACTTTGAGACAAACATGGGTCTGATATGGAGGAAGGGATTGTCAGCCTTGCCTCCAAAGCCATCTTCTCAGGGAACTCAAACAACACAGGACAATTTATCAATATAGTGTACAAATTTGGATTTTTTTTTTTGTCAGTGCTGGGTATCAAACGCAGGCTTTGCACTTATCTGGTAGGCTAGCATGGTACCACCAAACTACATACCCAGCCTGGAGTCCTTACATTTTTAGGGCCTACAGTTGTTAGCAAAGAAATGTACTTTATAATGGATGAATATTTGGGTAGACAATGGTATATTCACTTGATGTGGGAAAGACTTTAATGAATAGGTGTTTATTCAGGCTACTGCTACAGAGCCTTTTCTCTATACCAGAGTTCTGTGTGCTGAGGATAAAGCAGGGATGAGGAAGGACGCTCTCATTTGTGGAAGCATTTCTAATATGAGGTCGTCTGTGGGACTGTCTGGCTGTCATCCACCCTAACACAGCAGCCCTGGGTTGTCTGTGAGGAGGGTACCTTTACAGAACATTTCGTCTGTTCTTGATTTTAGATTTTGGGACTCTTTTGTGACTTCATCCTCTGTCTCTTTGCAATGTCTTGGGCAGTACTCAATACTAGCCTCTGGGCCTCCTCATCTCGGGCTTTCCATACCATGTAGATGTACTTTAAATTATATCTTAAGTGTGTTGTAGATATTTGGTAAAATTTTGTCCATGTGTATGTCAGTGACTTGCAAACTTTTTTTTTTTTTTTGGTACAGGTGACTAAGAAATGTCTTTCATGTTCCCTGTGTGATGTCTAGCAGTTGGCAGACACTCAGCAATGGTCACAACTTTTCTATTGTCCCTTTTGTATTCTCATATGCTTTGTATTTAAGAGGAGTTCAGAAAATATTAGGGCAAGAACTCTGGGTGGACTGCCCTGGGTGTCCTGTGCGATGGGGTATTTGATGAGGGAGAGGTGTGTTGGAGCCAGGGCTTGCTTCCTCTCATTCTTGTTTTCATCAGGAGATCCCTAGGAGGGTTTCACTGACTTAGCTTAGAAGGGAGACCTTTGTAAAGTGCTTTTCTGCCCAACTCTAATACAGCAGGACCTTCTTCGAAGCATTGGCCCATTTCTGCAGCGTGGGAGGAAGGTGCAGCCGTTCTCTTGTTGGAGTTTGTTATTGTTGTTCTCCTGTGTATTTCCTGTACTCTCTGCTGAGAAGTTTATCAACAGGTTCCTCCAAATAAGACTGTAAGAATTATGAGCGGGCTGTAATTCAGGGCTGAAGCTTTCTGCCTCTTCACTCTTAGCACAACAAAACAATACCAGGAACAGCAACAAAGTACCCCGGATATCTTTGGCCTCCTTGCTTTAGCTTTGGCAGCTGAGGCTCAGGGTAGTGGAGGATTACTCCTGACTTGCTGGTGGTACACAAGTCGCTGGATAACTGACCACTCTGTGTTGATGTAGTGGATGCACAAAGCTGCATAGCGGGGAGAGCTGACAGCCACTTGTAGTGACAGTTTTGACATCTTATTTTTTTTCTAAATAACAGAAATATTATAAGAATGCTTTCATTTACTTCCCAGTGTGGGGTATAGGCTTGCTTTAGATTGTCCACAGCAGCTTACTATGATTTGCCTCTTGCTCTGGTGTGTATGTGTGTACGTGTGAGTGTGAGTGTGTGTGTATGTGAGAGAGACAGAGAGAGAGAGAGAGAGAGAGAGAGAGAGAGAGAGAGAGGTTGATTTTACCAGCTGCAGATAGTTTCTGTGATTGCATGACATTTGGAAATTTTGGGGACTTTTCAGAGGGTATATAAATGTTAGGGCCCGGAGAGGTGGGTGGATTGTTTGTTGATGGTTGTGGTTGGATAAGTAGTCATGCACGAAGAGGAAACAAGAAGAAATTAGCTATCCTGATGTCGAAGATCAAACTTGCCCCAAGGAACTCGATGGCTCTAATCAGCAGGAAAAGTAGTCTAAAGGTAACTTTGTCCCCTTTCTGACCTGACTTTACTCGTGGATCTCTTTTCTTTCCTCTCTATCTCCCCCCCCCCACTTTTTTTCCAGTGTTAGGGGTTAAAAAGAGTGAAAGAAAAGGAGTGGAGAAGGGTGGAAGAAAGAACCCACAAAGTAGCAAGCGCTGGCTACACGCACCCTAACAAAAGAGGGAGCCAGCACTGTTGCCTGTAAGGGGAGGGCCAGTGTTTGTTTTTGGGATTCAGCAAGGCATTTGACCCTGTGGGATTATGGTACTCTGAAGTGGAGATCATGCTTCTCAGGCAGAATATGCTGATGGGAGAAGGGTTATTTAGAACTACCAGGATTTGGATATAAATAGCAAACATGTTCTTTGTTTGGCTAAAATGAAGGGTTAAAACTATTGCTAGAATGAATGGCATTCTAGGAGAGCTTCTGGGAAAGCAGGCAGCAGGATGTGGAGTTGATTTTGTAAGGAGCAAAGGAAGTGACAAGAGAGCAAACAGTGTTAGGATCATCCTGCTGGAAGACAGGCTCTGTAGTGTCCTGTCTAAAGATGTGCTTATAGCATCTTTATCTCTGGATTGTATCTGAGTAAAAGAGACACTCTCAGCTGCCTGTTTTACATCCCTTTCGACTTTAGACTAGTCATTTATTTGGGGAGGGTTGTCAATTTGATCTGTTCTCACCAGTGTGGAGAGGTCTCTATACTGGTGTCTAGGGCCATCTGATGGGAGAATTGACCTGGTTCTCCAGCTCTCAAGATGTGAGGAAAAGTACCTGTGACCAGAGATTGATGGTCATGAGTTCAGGGCAGATTGCCATGGTGATGGAGATATTGCAGCTTGGTTAGACTTCAGAAGAGTCCTGAGTCAAGGCTGTAGACTCGGGAACCTTCCAGGGCCAAGTGAAGCTGCAGTGCCCAGTGTTCGTTGGGCTGCAGAATGATGGGGGGGGGCATTTTCAGGCCAGGTTTCAGTCTCTGTGCTGTTTGTATTGCCCCCCCTCATGTGTTTTCAAACGAGTGTGGATAAGTGTGTGTGTGTGTGTGTGTGTGTGTATGTGTGTATAGAGGCTATAGATTGATGTAGGATGTCTTTCTTCATCACTTTACCTTTTTTCTTTTTTAAATCATTTTTAAAAGTTTTTGTATTTTATGTGTGTGGGTGTTTTCCTTGCATGTATGTCTGTGCACTATATGTATGCAGTACCTGTGAAGGCCAGAAGAAGGCACAGGATCCCTTGGGACAGCAATTATACATGGTTACTGGTTACCATGTCAGTGCTGGAAATTGAACCCAGGTCCTCTGGAAGAGCAGAATATGCTCTTAACTGCCGAGCCATCTCTCTAGCCCCTCTACCTCTGTGTGTGTGTTTTAAGTATTTTTATTCCTTTTAGTTATATGTAGCTGTATGAGTGTCTGCACATGGATATGTTCATATGGGTGCAAGTGCTGGATGAGGTCAGAAGTGTCAGACCCTCTAAAGCTGGAGTTATAGGCAAGTGTCAACTACCATGTGGGTGCTGGGAATTGAACTTGGGTCCTCAGGAAGAGCAGCAAGTGTTCTTAACTTCTGAGCCATCTCTCTAGCTCCTACCTTGACTTTTGAGACAAAGACTCTAGATGAATTTGAGACTTACCAATTTCGCTAGGTTGATTGGCCAGTGAGCTCCAGGGATCCATCTGCTTGTCTCCACTGCTCCAAGGAACACCTGGCTTTTATCTGAATCTTAGAGCTCAAGTGTTTTTCCCATTTAAATTTCTAGGCATTGAAACATTTATATGCTCTTGATACCAATGGGAACAAGTCAGAAATTGAATATTATACCTGGTACCCTCTCCCCAACGCCTTCCTCTCTATCTTCTCTCCCATAAATTATCCATCCATATTTTTACATATATGTTGTAAAAAATATTTAAAAAATCCAAGTGAGAGGTTTCTTCCCACCTTTGACCATTTCTGTTCCTGGATGAAACACACACAGCTTTATATTTTAAATATGCTTTAGGCAGTACAACATCTGGGCAGCTGCCCACCCTCCACGCTTTTAGAATCTACGTCCTGTCCATAACTCAAGTTATTATGTACTAGGTTTCATCTGGGCTGCTCTCAGCTCCAGTTGGCCAGCCCTCTGGGCCACGTTCTCTGGGCCTCTAGCCCATGGCAGCTTTCCTCCCTCCTGGTTGTTCTTACTTTTCCATGGCTCCCTTCTCCTCCCCCTCATGGTCTTAAGCCCAGGAAACCTAAATCCTACCTGGCTCTTCTCCTCAGCTATTGGCTGCTGGGATCTTTATTTACAAATTAGAATTAACTGGGGGCAGGGTCCCTTAGTATCTAATGTGCAGACTCTCTCATCTGTCGGACAAACAATTTTGGGGGATGTGAATTATTGTTCAACAGTATGATGGATTCTCTTTCGAGATGAGATCTTGCTATATCACCAAGGATGGCTTTGAACTCCTAGTCTTAAAGGGCTCTCCTGCCTCAGCTTCTGAGTAGCCATGATTACAGGATGTACCAATGTTCTTAGCTTATCTCTAATCAATATTTATATATCCTGTGAAGGAAGGTGTTGATTATTTTTTCCGATTGACATTTAATTATTCCAGCATTTAAATATAAAACAATAGCAACACAACAAACCTTTCCCCACTGAGAAACACTGGATACCTTTGTTGTAAATCACATCACAATTTCTGTTTCTGGATTCTGGACACTGTTTTCTGGTGTAAGTCCAAGAACTCTACCTACCCTCTCCATAATTGTCCTTTGCATGTAGGCTGTATCCCAAAAGAGGCTGTCTTAGTCACTGTTCTATTCCTGTGAAGAGACACCATGACCGTGGCAACTCTTTTTCAAGACAGGGTTTCTCTGTAGCCCTGGCTGCGACTATGGCAACATTTATAGAGGAAAGCATTTAACTGAGGCTTGCTTACAGTTTCAGAGGCTTAGTCATCCATTATTCTCATCACGGTGGGGAGCATAGCGGCAGGCAGGCAAGCATGGTGTTGGAGAGGGAGCTGGAGAAAGCAGAGACAGATTGGGCCTAGCATAGGCTTTTGAAACCTCAAAGCCCAATCCCAGTGACACTTTTCCTTCAACAAAGCCACACCTACTCCACACCTCCTAATCTCTCTCAAGTAGTGCCACTTCCTGGTGATGAAGCATTCAAATCTATGAGCCTGTGGGAGCCATTCTTATTCAAACCACCATAGAGGTTATAACAGTCTTTTCCTTTGATACAAAATTTTTGTTTTGTTTTTTTTAATAAAAAAAAAAGAAATAAAAAAAGGAAAGAAAAGAACATGACTGCCCCTAGGTATGATGGAGGAGAAAGTTTATTATAGATATGTAAGAGAGCAGAAGGCAGAGACAGGCACATCTGGGAGAGTCCAGAGTTGTCATGACCCTGAACCATGTAGGGAGAAGGGGAGGAGAAGGCAGAGATGGAAACCGAGTACAGCTGCCAAGAGGCCAAAGTACAAAAGGTTACAAACCAATATCTGGATTATATAGGGAAGAGCCTCTGAGGAAGGAGTGTTCAGGGGGTGGGATGTGGCAGCCATATCCTTTAACGGTAGGGACTGAGGGATGCTTGGAGGCCAGACCTGCTTTGATATGTTAAATAGACACTTCAATTTCTTGGCCCAGGTTTGAAAATTAATAGTTTTGGGTTTTTTTGCTATTTGATATAGAGTCTTTCTATGTAGTCCCAGCTAGCATAGAAATAACAAGGATCTGCCTGCCTTTGCCTCCCAAGCACTGGGATTGAAGGGTGCCCCAAAACACTGGCCCTGATACAGAATTGAAGATAAGAAAGGGTGATACAGAAAGAAGAGATGTGGGGTGGTGGTGGCACACACCTTTACTCCCCGCACTCGGGAAAACAGAGGCAGGCAATCTCTGAATTCGAGGCCAGCCCAGTCTACAGAATGAGTTCCAGGACAGCCAGGGCTATACAAAGAAACCCTGTCTCGAAAAACAAATCAAGATAAAAAGAAGAGGCAAATTCAGGAAGGATGAGGAGCCTGGAACGGAGGGGAGTTAGAGTCCTTGGAGCTGGTCTTTAAATTATAACACACTCTCTAAGGTTTAAATTATAACACACTCTCTAAGGTTTAAATTATAACACACTCTCTAAGGTTTAAATTATAACACACTCTCT